GGGCTGGGTGACACCCTGGGCACTGGATGGAGGGGGCAGCCTTGTGGGCTCATCCTCAGCCCCTCCCCCTCCTCTGTCTGAGCGCTTGGTGCTCTGCCCCTCACCAGACTTCACACTTGTGATGTGGGTTCATGGGTGAGCCAGGCGGGCAGCGGAAGTGTTCGGAGAACTCCTTTGAGTTGGAGACGGAGCCGATGACCCGGAAGCGGGAGGGGCTGTGGGGATCAGTGATGAGGCCTTCGTGGGTACTCTCGGGCGTGCGGACGGAACACCAGACCTTTGTGAGGGCAACAAGAGAAAGGGCAAGGTCACTGCGGGGCCCTGGGGTGGACAGGCTGGCCCTCCCCACGACAGCGGAGGAGTGAGCCCCCCACCCCCCACCTGGTTAGGAGACCCCTGGAAGTCAGAAGGGCTTGCCAGGTGGGTCACGAAGAGACCGAGGGCTCATGTGTCCCCTATCCTAGCATCGTCTACTGCAGTGGTCTCCAGCTGTGCTCCTACAGCCAGGCAGCCTCTCTATCCCGGGCATCTGTTTTACATTTCATCTGAACAAAGGATTCGGCCCCAAAACCAGTTTGAAAACTTCAGATTGGGCCCAGCTCACTTACTTCCTGGGCAGAGCAAACTGCCTAATGGCCCAGGGGCCCTGGGAGCCAGCAGAGGAAGGCTCTACGCTGAGTGTCAACTCAAGGGACAAGCTGGGGTATCATGAGCTGAAGAAATTTCTAGAGTCCCAGAATCAGAAGGGGCCTTTGCGGTCACCTTATCCTCTCATCTACCTCATGCAGGCATCCCTCTTAATAGCGTTCTTGGCCCTCCCTGGAATCTAATGACAGGAAGCTCGCCTTTGGGCTCTCAGTGCTCCTGAAATACCAAGATGGAAGAATGTGCCTGAGTTTGGCTTTTTCCTAATGAACTCACCTGCGCAAAGCCCAGGAAGAAGAGCTGGTTATTGGTAAGACCAAGGGTGGGCAACGTCTGCTCAGCTCCATTCTTCTTCACCCAGTTCTGGTAGGCCTGGGAGGACAGAAAAGAGAGTTCAGGGCGCCCACCACCCAGGAGCTAGCAGGGTGGTCATGGAGGAGCTAGTATGCTTCCATGTTGGGAAGTTCTACCACGTCGGTAGGACTGGTTTCTTGGGGGTCTGGGCGTCAGCTCTGATGGCTCAGGACAGCCTAGAGGAGCCACCTTCTTTACCTGTAGTCATTCCGAAGGTGAGTGCATTCAACCCTATGGCTTTAAATACCGTCTCCCTGCCGATGGCTGGCAAATGCGTACTTCCAGCCCCTGGTTCTTCCCTGGTTCTATCCAACTGCTCCAGCTGGAACCTCCAAGAGGCGTCTCCAACTTAACATGGCACGGACGGAATAGGTTACACACACACACACACACACACACACACACACACACACACACACACACACACACTTTCCCCATCACTATAAATGGCACCACCAACCACCTACAACTCAGGCCCAAACCCCAGAACTCCTCTCTGATTCTTCTCTTTTAGTCAAAGCAAACGCCCCACATCTGACCACTCCTCACACTTCCCATTGCTCCAACTTATCTGTTGCCTGGACCACCTCCCAATAGCTTTCTAACTAGGCTACTTGAGTCAAACTCGTCCAATTCCAATCCCATCCCGACACAGTAATTAAGTCACCCTTATAAAGCAGGAGTTGGCAGACTTCTTCTGTGAAGGGCCAGAAAGTAAATATATTCAGCTTTGGAGGCCAAATGGTTTCTGTTGCCACTACTCAATTCCGACATTGTAGTGTGAAAGCAGCCACAGACGACATGGAAACAGATGGGCATGTCTGCAACCCCCCAATTTTTATTTACAAAAATTGGCGGAGGGCTGGACTTGGCCAGTGGGCTGTAGGTTTGCTGACCCCTGTTTTAAAGGATAAGGTGGACCATGTCATTCCTCTATTTAAAAACTCTGCAGCGACTCCCACTGTAACCAGGATAAAACCCAAGCTCCTTGCTGATCCAGCCCCTCCTCCAACCTCCCCTCCCCTCCCCGGCCCCTGCCCCGTCTGTCTTCCTGTCCTTGAACGTGCCAGGCTTGTGTCCATCTCATGGCCTCTGTACTTTTTTCCCAGCTTTCCCTGCCTCTTCCTCATCATTTAGGTCTCAATTCAAACGCCACCCCCCCACCCCAGAAAGCCTCCCCTAACCACCCTCCCATTTTTCTTGATTACGTTGCCTATTTTAGATTGTTCATCTTATCGATACCTGAAATTATCTTATAATTGTTTTGGTATGTATGGCCTCTCTGATCCCTCCCTGGCCCGGTAAAATTGTGACTTTATGAGAGTGAGATCCCTGTCTGTCTTGCCACAGAAACTCCAGTGCCCAAAACAGTGCACGGTGGGTGGAAGGTTTGCAATACATGTTCACTGACTAATGGACTTCAGGCAAGTTACTGAATGCTCTGGGCTCACTTTCCTCATCTATAAAATGGGGGCTGTGATGCCTAGCTGTAAAGCTGTTGTGGGGGGGTACTGAGCACAGAGCCCAGCACACGATAAGGCCTCAATAAATGGCTCCTCTTCGTATTTCTGCTCTTACTATCGTGGTGTGGAGGAAGCTCTGTGTAGCTCTCTGATAGACATCTCCTCCTTTTCTCTCGTGGCCTCTGCTATCACTCACTCCCATCCAACTCAGCTACCACTTCTGAGTGCCACCCTGGACCAGGCCCCGTAACCCAGTTGTCACGTGTCATCTTTCTGCCACCCCAGTGATGCAAGGATTAGGGACTCTCAACCCAAGCATGCCGAGACTCAAGGAAGCCAAGTGACCCACTCCAGAACCAGGACTCAACCCGGAACTGGGTCCATGACCCCTGTCCCTGCCCTCCCCTCCTGGGCCCCCTGCTGCCTGAATTAGCGGTGGCTTCCCCTGCAAAGGGACGAACAGGCAGCTCTTCTGGCGAGTCCAGCCCAAGCCCTTTCCTGTGTCTCTCAGTCAGGCTGGACTCAGAGCAGAAAGCCTCCTGGGTGCTGAGCTCTGTGCTAGGTGCTTTCAGATACCCTCTCCGTCAGTCCTCACGACCACCCATTTCACAGATGAGGAAACGGAAGCTCCCAGACTGGCCGCAGCTTGTCTGTACCGACCCAGACCCGGGCCCGGGGTGTGTAGGGAGCGGGCCTCGTACCCGATAGGCCGCCTTGAGGCCCCCGTTGTCGGCGATGTTCTCCCCCAGCGTGTGGCGGCCGTTCACGGGCTCCCCGTTCACGCTGTAGTTGCCGTACTGCTCCACCATGCACTCGGTCTGCCGCTTGAACGCCTCCACGGACGAGTTCTTCCACCAGGGCCGGAGGTTCCCGTCCTTGTCGTACTCCCGTCCTGCAGGGTCAGAGGGAAACGTCAGGTCAAGGCGAAGGGGAGACAGAGCGGGGACCTGTTGCTGCTGACGGTGCCTCTCTTCTCGGTGAGAAATGGATTCCTCCGTCTGTGCCCATCGACCGATCAACCAGCACTGGGGAAGCCGATGCCGGTGTGTGCGCTAAAGGAGCCGGATGACTTAGCCAAACCAGGTGGGGGCGGGGAGGTGCAGGAAGGTGACCCAGACCAACGACCAGCATGAGCAAAGTTTTGGTGGAGCTGGACTCATTGTCAAGGCTGCTAAGGGCCTCTGACCCTGAGCACAGGAGGAGCAAATGGAGCCGGTGGCACTAGGGTCATAGTCTCCGAGGTCCTGTCTCTGCTTCTTGGCCTTGGGGTCCCCAAGGCAGGAGGCAATGAGGAGGACTCTGGGTGTTAGCTGGTGAGGAGGGGACTGATCTCAACTCCTCTGACTGTGGTCAGACCAGAGAAGTTTCTGGAGTGATGGAGAAGAATATGCTCCCGCTGACTACTGCCCACCCCCGAGGACGGGACACCTTCCCGCAGCAGGGTGCTCCACTGCGAGTGCGACAGTCCTCACCCTCACGAGGCTGGGACCATCGTGCCTATTTTACAGACAAGGAAACAGAGGCTTGGAGAATTATGGGACTTGCTAAATTTCATACAATTGGCAGTTGGCTGGGCCAGGATTTGAACTCAGATCCTTCTATTTCAATCCTAAAACCTGTAGATATGAAGGGAGCAAAAGCAGAAGAAGTGGGGCAGGAAGCTGATAAGCCCCATTTGACGGGGACCCCAAGGAACCCATACCTTGATCATCAAAAGCATGAGTCAGCTCATGGCCCACGACGACGCCAATGCCACCAAAATTTAAGGCCCTGGAAGGAAAGACACAAAGATAAGAGTGATGCCATGAGGGGAGAAACCATCGCTTCCCAGGCCTAGAGACATGGCCGCAGCCTGAGCCTGAAGCGAGTCAGAAGTTGGGTGAGTCGGCTGTGGTCGGCTTGTGCCACTAGATGCCAGGCATGGTTCTACATGCTCCACAGACCTGCACTGTCCTCTTTGGTCATCTCAAAAGAGTCAGTCATTAGCAATCGACTCTATAAGTAAGCAAACTGAGGCTGGGAATCACTTTGCCCAAGGGCCACACAGTCAGCCAAGCCAGGCCTGCGTGAATTTCCTTCCTGAGACGGTGTCTTCACACTTCCCAACTCGCCAGCTGTGACTGTTCTAAAACACTCGTAGAGGGACATTCTCCTATATGGGACTCCTGACTCCATGACGTGCCCCCACCTTCCCACTGTGTGGGGGCTTCCAGATCCAGGGCGTGACAATGTTCTTCCCTCTGCAATTTCTCTGTAAGTCCCAAACTGCCTGGGGGACCAAGGAGCTGGCTTGATCGTGTGGTCAGCTGTGGGCCACGGTGCTGGGGGTGGGGGAAGGAGATGGGGCGGGAGCACCACGAGCATCGTACTTGGGTGAAGAGCGGGTGTAGAACGGGGCCTGCAGGATTCCGGCCGGAAACACAATCTCATTCTTGGTAGGAGAGTAGTAAGCATTCACCATGGGAGGGGTCATGCTCCACCTGCAAGCAACACACGCGTGAAAAGACAGGCACAGCTGTGGGGGAGGGACGTGGGGAAAGCCCACCTGCAGGGTACCAGGAGCCTTAGAAATTTGGAATCCCCTTGACCCTTGGCCCAAGTGCACACAAGTACAAGGACATTCACAGCAACACTGTTTTTGAGAAGGGATAACCGGAAAACACCTAAATGTCTATCAATAGGAGATAGGTTAAATGTGATCTCACACCACACAATGGAATACTGAGGCTTTTACAGAGAGCACGATGGACCATTATATGCCGAAGAATCATCGTCGTCTCCGCTCAAAATGTATCTATGTACCTATCAGCAGTTCCCAAAGTGTGATCTGCGGATTCTTGGGGGGCGGGGGCCTCCTCAGGTCCCTTTCAGGGGGTCTGTGACGTCAAACTTATTTTCATAATATTAAGATGTTATGTGTCTTTTCCACTGTGTTGACATTCACACTGATGGAGTAAAAGGCACGGTGGGCAGGACTGCTGTAGCCCTAGCAGTCATGGCACCAACTGCTGGTCGCTGTGTTCTTTACCAGGAAAAAAAAGCCATTTTCACTTAAGAACATCCCTGATGACGTAGCATCATTATTAGCTGCATTAGAGCCAGACCCTCGACTGCAAGACCTTTAATATTCTGTTTGACCACGTGGGAAGTTCACGTAAGCACGTCTGGGTTTTTCCCCAGAGCACCCTTTGCACTTGAGAGGACAACTGACAAACTGGCATTCCAGACTTGGCATTTCGTAGACATCTGCTTGAAAACGAATAAAGTGAGCTTATCACCTCAAGGAAAAGAACTGACACCATTTGTCACCAGTGATAAAATTTCAAAAAACAAAGAGATTAGAAGTTTCAAACAAAAATGAAAATTCTGAAAAACTTATATAAGCCACCACAAACTTGTCAGCTTCCCAATACATAAAGACTTCTTAGGAGGTCAGCGGTGATATTAATAAATGTGGATTTTTGGGGGATATTTTATAATGAAAGTGTCATTATTTAGAAGATATGTAAAACTCAGTGAACCATTGTGTTCCAAATGACCAATGTGTGATGCTACAAAATCATGCATGGGTAAGAGATCCATAAAAATTGCAAGACAGACTGATGGATTTTAGTGTAACCAAGTATGAAAAGTTCACGGATACAATTTCAGGTTTCCAGTGCAATTAGCCTTTAAGAAATGACCACTTGTTGAATTTTGGTGTAATATCAATGAAGAATGTACACTAGTATCAGAAAAGACTATTAAAATATTCCCCCCTTCCAGCTATAGATCCGTGTGAGGCTAGATTTTCTTTATGTATCTGAAAACAATACACTGCAATAGATTGAATGCAGAAACAGCTATGGGAATCCAGCTATCTCCTATTAGGCCAGACATTAAAGAAGTTTGCAGGAGGTGGACGGTTAGCTCAGTTGGTTAGAGCACAGCGCTCATAACACCAAGATTGCCGGTTCGATCCCCATGCCCTCCACAACTAGATTGAAACAACTACTTGACTTGGAGCCGATGGGTCCTAGAAAAACACACTATACTGTTCTCCAATAAAATAATAATAATAATAATAATAATAAATAATGAAGTTTGCAAAAAGTAAAACAATACCTCTCTTCTCATTCAATGTATAAAATAGTTCTTTTCATTAAATTTGCATAAAAGTTGATACAATCTCCATAAACAAAAAAGCTTCTTGGGGGTCCAATAATTTTTTAAGAGTGCAGAAGGGACCCTGATGCTATACAGTAATGAGACATTTGACCCCAGGATGATTTTTCTGGTGTGGAGGGGAAGGGCCAGTGAGGAGTGGAATGAGACAGAAAATACATTTTTTCTCCAAAAGCCTACACAGTAACTCTGTTTCCTCCAGGTGAGCCCCACAGAGATGTGTTAAGGGGTGCCTGAAGCCATGGTAAGATATTGAGAAACTGAAAACATTTACATTCAAATAATCATGGATACACATGGATACATGGATAATGGGTAGGAGACAAAGTTTAAATCAAGAATTTTAAGCTAAATTAAAAGACTTCAGATAAATTCGGAACCTTGTGGCAGTACCTGTGCCATATCATGGAGATTAACCACCCTTTTGTGCATTTAAGGGTACTCTGATTGAAGAAAGGAAATGTAGAAGAAACAGAGATGGTCAAATCCCTGTTGTCCACGAGGAGGCGCCAGAGGCAAAGAGAAGTTGCTCTCACTTTTTGGCAAGATTTTTTTCCTGCAAAATGTTTTAGCACGGAGGAAGGGAGCTTAGTCTGAGAACTAGCACTGGGCTGTTTTCTAAGATTGTTAACAAAACAACAGATACCATGCCTCGCTCCAGATTATTTTGATTTAGAAGGTCTAGGGTATAAACCAGGAAGCTGTTTTGTTTTTTTTTTTAGAATTCTCTAGAGCAGCGGCTCTCAACCTTTCACAGGGGTCGCCTAAGACCATCGGAAAACACATCTTTTCGATGGTCTTAGGAACTGAGACACCGCTCCTCTATCCATCTCCAGGCCCACATGCAGATACACCCACATACAAGTACCCGGTAACCCCTGTGAAAAAGGGTCGTTTGACCCCCAAAGGGGTCGCGACGCACAGGTTGAGAACCGCTGCCCTAGAGGGTTCTGATGTGCAGTGAGGTTTGGGAACTGCAGCTGTTGGGATCTATCCAATTCCCCCAGGTCTCTGTGGGGGAACTGCCCCTGAGAACCCACCACTCCAGTTACTGAGCAATTGGAGGAAACCAGCCCTAGCTAAGGGCCTCCTCTGTGCCAGGCACTCCCCAGAGGTTGTCACACTTGACTGTCACACAGCTCAACGTGCTGAAGTGGTGGAGGTGGGATGTGGTGCCAGGTCCGCTCAATTCCAGAGGACAGGCTACTCTGCCAAAAGGCTGGCACTGGGGACATACAGACCCGGCCAATCCCAGTTCCCGGCTGGGCAACACTTCCTTGGTCCTTGGTTTCTTCCTCTGAAAAGTGCAATGACAACAGTACCCACTTCTCAGAGGGCCCTTAGGACAGTTATATCTGGCACATGGTACGTGCACCACAGAGACAAGCTCAGCCGTGTGCTGGGAGCCAGTGCCTTCCCAGTGCCTTCCCAGCAAGGCCCAGAACTCACTGGTCTCTGTTGGGAGCCTTCCTGAGCTGGTCAGCAGTGACCCTCCACGAGAAGTTGAAAAACCGCATGGCGTTCTCGAAGTAGAGATCTGGAACTGCCGTATACTGGACAAGAGAGGGTGAAGTCACAGGATCAGAGCACGCCCAGGCTGGGAGGCACCTCAGATGCTCCAACGCAAACCCTTCTAAGGCGGAGGAAACTGAGGCCCCACCAGGTTAAGGGATTGGCCTGCAGGTCCGAAGCTAGAACGGGGCTGCAGGCTTGGGGTCCTCCCTGGCACCCTCTCCCCTTCAAAAGGACACACACTGAGAGCTTCCCCTATGACCGCCCAATGCCCAGCTGGGTCACAGGCTGCAGGGATGACCCAGTAGCAGTGCCTGGGTCTTAGGCAGGAACTATCTCCAGCGCTGTCCAACAGAACTTTCTGCCACAATGGACATATTCCTATGCCTGTGTTATCCGAAACGATAGGTACTGGCCACATGTGGCCACTGAGCATTGCAAATGTGGCTAGTGTGACTTTTAAATTGAATTGAATTTAAATGACTTAGGTTTTAATTAATTAGCCACCTGTGGCCAGTAGCTACCATACCAGACGGCACAGATCTCTTCCGTCGAGCTGGGCTCTATCTCTGAAATGTCAGGGGACAGGCATTGCTGCACATCTTCCTCCTCACTCAGCCCAGGCTTTCAGCTCCTTTCAGATACAAGGTTCTCCCTGAGATCCACTCCAGAGCTTTCTGGCTCTGGTGAAATGCTGGGCCCTTGTGGGCAGGACCCTGGCGCTGCGGGCTTTGCCTGGGCTGTTTCTAGGAGGCCCTGGTCTTCTATTATGACACTCTGGCACATTTTAAATTATGCTCAAGGAAAGAGGCTGCAGAATAAGCCCCATATACTCAGAAGTAATTTCAATATTCTTAGGGTTTGAATATAACCATGATGAGAGGTTATTATAATTGTAAAAATGCCTGAATTTATAAATTTCAATCACGGAAAGATATGAAACGTTATCTTTCAGGACAGAAGCACGATCCATTTCAAGGAGTGATTTGCTAAAAGTTCTAACAACCAGGGACCCATCAACTACCCTTGTTGCCCAAATTAAGCTTCAACATGCATTTAGGATTTAAGCTTCTTCTTTCCCGTTCGCATTTCAAAGGCCAAATCAGGGGTCCAGGTTTCTCAGGGGGGGTGGGGAGAACCCTGGGATAGGAGGCAACTCTGGGAGCTGGGAAGGAAGCGGTATGAGGGGCTCCACGCTGTACCCCACTCCCTGATGTTTTAGGGGCTCCAATGCTCTCTGCACCTTCTAGGATCTCTTTCCCCCCACTATTTCCCACTTATGAAATGGAGCAGACCACTTCCAGCGGGGCACGAGGCACTGTTCAGGTACCGACGGCTGGTGGCTCCCAGGGAGGCGGGGGCCTCCGGCTGGCCCAGGAGAAAAAGGAGCAGGGAATGGCTTCTTTGTGCCTGATCCATCCCCAAACCCCACACCACAGCATCATGACACTTCCAGTGTCCCACCTGGACCCAGCCTGCCTCTGCCTTTTCCCAAGTGGGGACCCCGGGAGCTTTCGGGAATGCAAGGGGGCAGGGTGGGAGCCACTCACGTCACTGAACACTTTGTCGAGCTCTTTGGGTTCCATGATAAAGTTGGGGTAGCCTATCATGTTGTAGATTGCATCCGCCTGGACAGGAGAGACACAGGACAGTGAGTGACCAGCAATGCTCTGTGGGTGCCAGGCCCAGGGTCTGCAACAAGCGGAAACAGGGCCAGACTCCTCCCGTGTCAGGGCTCTCACATCTCTTTCTGGAAAGATTCTTTTCTTGACTAATTTCTCCTTATCCTTTGGGTCTCCCTTAAATGGCCTTCCCAAGGGGGAAGTCTTCCCTGGCCACCACCCCACCAGACGGCATCAGGTCCTTCACTCTCCATTAGCCATGTCACAGGTCCCTGCACATCTTCCTCGCACACTCAGTGTGCCTTGTTTTTATACAGCCATCAGTGCAATCAGGCTGTCCCTCCACCCTGCTGGACTGTCCACCCCCTGAAGGCAGGACAGTATCTGGATATATAGTCTCTCCTTCACCCACCCTCCTCTATCTGTGGCCGCTGCCCTCGGTGCAGGAAGCCTCAGCCACCCCCTGCAAACACCTGGCGAGCCTCACCTTTTCCTTGGCTGATTTCCGAGTGTCTTCATCCATCCACTTCAGGGTACTCAGGCTTTCCTCAAATGCCTTCTTAATCTCTTGGATTATCTCGCTGGCCTGAGGAGACAGAAGCTGAACCGGTGAGGTCCGGGCACCCCATGCTGGAGGATGACATGGGGCCAGAGACGAAACTCAGGTCTTGGCTCAAAGCCCCAGGCTCCTAGGTGCTGGGCTAAGAACGGGCACAGCCATGTTTCCCAACCTGTTCCTCCAAACTGATGTCCTGCAAGACAAGACTGGACTTCCATAAACAGGGCTCTGTGGTCAAGTACCCTTAGGGCACGCTTTGGGAAGCCTGGAAAAGCCTCTTTACTGTGGGACTTCTCAGAGCCTTTAAAGCGTTAAGAGGCACTGCGATTCTTTTCTTACTGTAGTCCAGTAAGTCTGAGGATGGCTATATGTTCTAGCATCTGGAGAACTTGAGTCCTAAGGGGCAGTTTCAGAAATGCTCTACTCAGGCTTGGGAGGAATGGCCACTCTCAAGGGCCATGATGTCACAGGCAGACCTCACGGCCGAAGGTTCTAGACCAGGGAAGATGGACTCGTGCTGCAGAAAGCGCCAAGGGGCTGATGGCTGGACAGAACTCTACTCAGGTTCTGCACCAGCTGTTCCCAGGCAAGTCACAGACTAGATCTGAGTCTGTTTGCTAACCTTTGACTGCAGGTGATATCTAGGTATTTAATATTAGTAATAAAAACTGGAAAACCATGTAACAGCTACCTTTTATTGAACCCTTATTTTGCGCCAGGTGCTCTTCCGAGATCAGACGAGATCGGGCGCGTTCAGGCTGGTATGGCCGTAGACGCGCCAGGTGCTCTTGATGGGTAATGTCTCATTTAATCTCCCCCTCTGGGATGGACACACCTACCCCCATGTTACAGGTGAGGTGAGAATATTGTCTCGAGTCACCCAACCAGGAAGTGGTAAATCCAGGATTTGAGCTGAGGCCTGGCCATCTAGAACCAACCTGTCATCCACAGAGTAAGACAAAGGTCACCCTCTAGGTCAGAGCTGCTCTGTCAACATTATCTTGCTGGGTCCCTCATACCCTTGCAGGTGGAGACAGCTGGAATAACCCTGCAAGGCTGTGGTGAGAGCTAAATGAGATAATGCAGGCAAAAGGCCTGGCACTCAATAGTGAGCTCGCATTATTTAGGGCTTTAGAAAACAGGGCCTTGACGTTAAGGTTGGAGCCCTGGGCCAGAGCTGGGAAGGTCCAGAGCGGAAGCTGTCAAGTTCACGAGGGACCATCGCTGGTGTGACGTCACAGCCTGTGTCCAAGGAGCGGAGGCACTTACTATGTTCTTGCTGTCCTCGGCGAAGGTCTCTTTGACAAACATGGGGCCCAGGGCGAAGCCCAAGTTGTTTTCTGTGTCACTCACGCAAAACTTCCAGCGAGGAAGGCAGGTCTGGAAACACAAGTGGGAGGGGTTACTCGGACCCGATCCCTCTTCTCTCCAACCCCTGTCCGTCTGGGAGGTAGCACCAGCTGGGGCCCGTGCTTCCTTCCAGAGCTTCAGGGAGATCCTTTCTGGCCCGGAGGAAGTTATTTTAGGCACTGGACCAAGAGACCACGGAACATCCCTCTTCACTGCCACCTACTATTTCCTGCACGCAGGGGCCACGCATAGCACTTCACAAATAGTATCCCATCGAACCATCAACATGAGCCTGGGAGGCCGGGATGGTGGGCCCTTCACAGGTGAGGAGATGGAAACTCAGCACAGGGAAGTAGCTGGTCCGGGGTCCCACGGTGACCGGAATTCTGCCATACCTGACCCCACATGCCACAGTCCCACCTCTACCTTATCCTGCCTCCTGGAGGAGGCGAAGAATCCTGATGACGAAGAACCTTGGGAAGTTACCTTGTCTACCCCTGAGCAACAGGAAAGCCTTTCCAGAAGGCCAGGCTCTCAGCCCCAGTTAAAGCCTCCTACAGAAAGAACCGCCATAGCAACACTGCAGGACTCGATGCATTTGTCTGTTTTTGGTCTCACCGGCGAGCCCACAGGCCATGGGATGTCTCCAGATGGGCACCCCGGGGGCTGCAGCCTCATGGAGCATGGCTCAGGGACGAGCACCAGGCTAGCTTCAGCCCCGCTCGCTCTCCTTCCAGCAGCCCTCTGTGGGCAGTCTGTACGACCACAAGTAGGCGCACTGCTAGTCCTCTGAACCCCCCTGAGCAAAAGGTGGTAAAACCCACCTGGGCTTGGGCAGCCTACTTCATAAGAGCCCTCAGCTGAAAACAACCCAAATGCCCATCAACAGGCAGATGGTACACAAAATGTGGTATTTTTATACATCAGCACACTACTTGGCAACAAAAAGGAATGAACTACTGATGTATAAAACATGGATGAATTTCAGACTTGCGCTGAGCAGAAGAAGCCAGGCCCAAAATGGGTACCTAGCATATAAATCCGTCTATATCCAGCTACACCCACCTGGTATAGGGGTGGGGTGGGGTCAATGGGAAAGGGGCACAGGGGAACTTTCTACTCTGAGGACAACGGGTAAAACGGGGATGGAAATGTTCTCTATTTGACTGTGGTGGTGGTTACATGCGTTACCTTGTACCAAACTATGTACTTGGTGCATACATTTTACTGGATGTAAATTATACCTTCATTAAAAAAATTTCTTCCAGGCAAGAAGGAAGAAAGGGAGGAAGAAACAGAGCACTCCAGCCTTCTCTAAATTTAGTCGCCCAAGTTCTCTGAAGCTTTCCCACCCAGGTGCCCTTCCCCAGAGGTAAGGCCTCCAGCTGGACACAGGAAGGACCTGGATCTGGCCAAGGCTGACCACACAGGAGGTCAGGGCCAGGGGGTTCCCTGGGGAGGCAGAAGGGCCCTGGAGCCCTGGGACCTCTGAAAGAATGTGGGGGCATTTAAAGGGGGGTGAGACCATGTGGTCTAGGGACTGGGAGGATACCACCAGTGAACACCTGTGTCATGCTTATTATGAGCCAGGTGTTGCACCAAGTGTTTTATGTGTATGGGGAAGAAGTAGTGTAACTGGGGCTCCCCTATGTAAAAGGCAGATGACGACGGTACCTCCCTCACAGGGTTGTGGAGATCATATGAGTTATATAAGGAAAGTGTTTATCATCATTACCACTGAGGAGTTGGATGGGAGGGGACAGGCACTACCTTTTGCTGTAAATTAGCTAAGTTGCTAAGAGTCCTCTCAGTATAACCACCTCCTCCTGGAAGCTTCTGTCCACCCCAGACTGGCTTAGGTGCTTGGGACACCTGGGCGGACCCCTTCAGTGGCCTTCTTCATGCTCTGCCTATCATCTATCTCCTTCACGAGTTCCACAGCCCTGGAGGGTACCGTGGTCACACCAGCCTCCAACTCAAGGCCTGGCACATAGTAAGTGCCCAACACAGGCATGTATGGGAGTGCACAGTAACAAACAGGCTTACCTTCTTGGTCCCATACATGACTTCCATAAACTTCTCATCGGCGTCCTGAAAGCGCTGATCGAGGAAGGTACTTGTCTTCCGCACCAGGTTCCAGATCATGTAGTTGTTCAGGAGGCTGAGGCAAGAGACCAGACATGCTCAGTAGGGCCCCAGGCAGGACGCAGTGCAGCACTTCCCCTGCTGACCTCTAGGGGGAGCTCAGACACAGCCTTCTGATCCCAGGTGCTCTTGCCACACCTGCACCAGTTTGGCTGGTTACTGCTTTCTAGGCACATGGAAGGTTAGCTCTTCCAAGGGCAGAGCTTGAGAACCCCTCAGTGCCTAGTGCAATGACTTGTACACCACAGATGCTCAATAAATGCTTGTTGCTAGCCTCAAACTGGAACCAACCTAAATGTCTGACAACAGAGGAAGGAGTGAGTCAATAATCATACACATGTAGCAATGGAATACTACACAGCCACGAAAAATGAGATCTGCAGAGGGTTTGGGATGACATGGGGAAAATGCTTATGACAGAGGTCAAGGGAAAAGCGGACTATACATCTAGTCACAATGATGGGGGACAAAAGGAACCATATGTTAGAAAATCCATCTCTCTCACTCTCACATACATGCTTTCTCTCACCACACATGCACACTCACAAACACCCCATAAGATCAACAGTAGTTTTTTGCATTGCAATTTTTTCCCTATTCTTCGTTTTCAAAAAGTTCTACAAGTCTTTAATGTTTTTTTAAAATATCATACATATTAATTGTTAGCTAATATTTACCAAGTCCCATTCCACGTCAAAGCACTAGGTTAAAACACTTCACACGAATTATTTCACTCAATTCTCACAACAAACCTACATGGTAGGTGCTATTTATAGTCCCATTATATGGATGCAAAAAATTAACCTGAGAAAGGGTCAGAAACGTGCTCAAGGCTACAAAGTTGGTAGGTGGGGGAGCTGGGATTTGAACCCGCGCTTGTCACCAGGGCACCCTGCTGCCTCTCATAAAAGCCAGCTGCAGGGCCCACTTTTCTGAGTCAGTTTGCCTTCCGCTGCCCCCGTCCATCCTGCCTGAGATGAGGCAGCAGCGTGTGGCCTCAAATCCTGCCGCTGGGTGCCCCTTACCATTTGTCGGTGTTGTTGATGAGGGTGGAGACCTGCCCAAGGTACTCCTTGTCGTAGACGACAATCGGCTCAGATTCGTTGATCTCCACAGGGTAGAAGATGGTGCTGAGGAAGGGCAGCCAGTTGATGGCAGGGGCCAAGGTCTGGAAGGGAAGAGGACAGCGTGACTCTGGCTGGGCCATTTCTCCTCAGAGCCCAGGTCTCTGGGGCATTCTTCTGAAGAAGCTGTCACAGTGCCTTCCATCCTCAGACAAAGCAAAGAGCTGGGAGCTGCCCAACAGTGTGCTGGGCAGGGGACAAACAGAGGCTGGCTGGCTTTTGTCAGAGATGCCGTCGATCGAAGTCTAAGGAGCTAAAACTTACTTGAAATGGAACTAGGATGGAATAGAGGAGACACAGCAGCAGCAGCAAGCAGCTACCATGGATCAAGCCCCTCCAATGGCAGGTGCCATTACAAATGACTCACGTCTTCTCCCAACTGGTCCTTATGACAGTTCTAGGCAGTAGGGACTATTATCACCATTTTACTGATCAGTAAACTGAGCCTCAGATGGGCCTGTAATACATAGATAGGTGTGTAGAATCTGGAGCCAAACTGCGTGGGTTCATATTCCAGCTCTCTCAGGAGCTGTGCAACCAAGAGTAAGACGATGAACCCCTCTGTGCCTTGAGAGAGCATCTGAAAAGTGGAGATCACCCTAATACCCACCTCACAGGGTTAGTGTGAAGACTGAAGATTAACTGACATTATTAATACTGTTTGTTTGTTC